ATGTGTGGATGTGTCCAGAGAGAGTCCATGCTGGCATCCTTTGTCTTGAGGGTTTTTATCTCTCTTCTGCGGCAGGAATATTAAGGGAGATTTTAGGGAAGGGTTCAACAGAATAGGCATCAGCTTCCAAGTGTGCTCTTTAATATGCTGATGCGTTAAAAGGAGCATAAAGGGGACTTTGGGATAATTCTCTGGTCAGCTTTACTGCTTTACTTTTATCTTTGGTCTGTCTGGCTCTAATAGGGTTTTTGTTATTAGTTCCCCTGACTTCATCTGTCCTTGGGTTTGGCTGGCACAAATGGCACTAACTGGGTCTTTGTTACCAATCTCCCTGGCCAGAATGATTGAAGCTATTGATTTTCTTGTTAGGGAGGTGAGGTATAAACCATTTACTCTTAAGTGTCCTCAGTTAGGGAAGGCAAAGTCTTGTGATTCACTAGCTGGCTATAAGTTGTTCAAATTGTGCTTGTTTAATTATCTGTTGCGGTTTCATCACTCCACTAGCCAAGGAATTTGGAGACTTCATAGTTCAACTATGAAGTCATCGAGGGCTTAGCCACGCCGCATTAGAACAAAAGACAATCCTATCATCCTTGCAACTCGGGAAATTCTAAGGATTTTAGGAGTTCTATGCCAGGCACTGGGGACAATAACCAAATATGTATTTTCCGTCATACCACACTGGTCTTCAGGCCTTTCAGGTGAGGACTGGGACTCACACCAGTGGCCAAGTGACCAACAGAAGGCTACATAGCCAGTAGCTAGGGGGTTGAGTTAGGACCAATGCCCCAGTAATATCACTTTAGGACTTTTGACTTTTAGCTCTATCCCTGGCCCAGGCTGCAACTCCTAACATACATAAACGCAGGAAAAATAAAACTTTTAAAAGAGCATTTTTAACATATAAGAGGCAAGAAAACATTGGTTAAAGGTTAGTTTTCACATAAATAATATTCATTTTGATTCTCTGAGGTAAGTAAAAGAAGATATGAAAAATGAAGCTCAGAGAGACTAAATACATTCTCCAAGGTTACACAGTCAGAAGGAGGCCCTGGGATTTAATCCTGGGCCTGACACCCTCTTTCTCTCCGACACCAAAGAACAAAAGGAGAATATATCAGCCATCTTCCAGTTTCCAGTGGATTGGCAGAAATCTTTTGGGAAGGAATATAATCAGGAAATTTCCATCTCCACAGAAGGTAGAAGTAAATAAAATGAATGATAATTAAAGCATAAAGGATTTAACTTAATCCTAAGGAAGAGTTTTTCAGGGGTAAGGTTAATTAAACACTAATAAGATTTTGGGTTGTTTTTTTTTTAAATCAATGGCTCTAAAATTCTGCTTCCGATTACTGTTTATGAAGCATCATGAAACACATGAAAACAACAAGGAAAAAGGTTGGGGATAATTTTGCAAGCTAGTCAAAAATGCTGGCAAGCCCAACATTTTTCAAATCTCAGTTTAAGACTAAATTGAGTAAATGATTATAAAGATCAGTCATAGCTTTCTGGGAAACTATAGAAAATGTTAATAACATTAAATTTTTACATACTAATTTCCAAGTTTGGAATAAATACTAGCTTTTTTCATGAAATCAGAGCTATTATTTTTTCAAAATATCAGCAAAGAAAGCAGATGGGTAAGGCACAGATTCCTGCACTTACTCAGTGCATTTCCTTTATAGGGAACAATCTCTACTGTCCCCGCCCCGTCCCCCCCCCCCCCCAAACAACCACATGGCTGCAAAACTCCCCTCCTCCCCATGGCCCCTGCTTTGTCCTTGCTCTTTCCCTTTGCCACTGCAGGCCTATTGCTACCCCAAGCCTTTGAGGGGTCAGGGGCAGTCTTAGGACAGAAGTTTTCGGTGATTTCATATGCATGTGGTGGAGGCAAGGCATTATGAATATTGAAGGGGCAATTCCAGATTCGACATATTTCTGTATCCCTCCCTGCCCTATTTATTCCTCCAGATCTGGACCAGTACCCCCAAATCCCATTTTTTTCTTTCCACCCCACTTCTTACAGCCAGGACTCCTACTCTAAGTCTTTGGACAAATTGCCCAAGAAAATGGTGGTTTCCTCTGATGTGCTTAACTGTTGGTATATTCCAGAGACCAGCCCTTCCATCTGTAGAGCCCTTATCAACATCTAACTGAGAAGAGAGAGAAAGGTAGGGAAGTAAAGTCAGCATTTTCTTTATTGAAAGGGGTGGGACCATGAATTCTAAGTTGGGAATAAAAGGAATAAGAGGGGCTTAGCAAGGAATGGTCAAGAACAATGATGAAATTTGACAATATGTAGCAAAGTCTTTAAAATTACTGTATTTGATTCAGGCATCCCATTTCTGGGAATTAAACAGGGGGAAGATAAAAAAGGTCTAAATAAGTGATATGCCATTTTCATAGATTAGAAGAAGCCTCAATATAGTAAAGGTAAGAAATTATGCCCATTTCACAGATGAATAAACTGAGGCATAGAGAGATTAAATAATTTGTCCAAGGCCATAAAGCTAGTAGGAGGTGAAACCATGATTCAAAACTAAGAGTTTGGACCCAGAAGCCATGCTCTTCTCTCTCTCCCTTCCTCTCTCTCTCTCTCTTTCTTCCTGTCCCCTGAGCTCCCACAGTCCCCTAGCCACTGTCCACGAAGCACTTTCTTTTTTGCATGTGTCTGTTTCTTCCACTAGAAGAGCACAAACCACATCTTACCTGCCTTGGCATCTCCAAGTGTCTGGCACACAGGAAATACTCAAAATATGTTTATTGAACCCCAAATCTATTTTTTGAAACAATAGAAGATTTATTGGTAAGTGGCCTAATCATTAAGATTTATACTTCTGCCATCACAGAATTCTGTAAATTAGACACAGACATAACCCAAAATACACATATTTAATAATGACTCTTAAGAAAAATAATTTTCTTAGCTTTGGGTTGTTAAATAATTTAAATAGCAGGCTCAGAATTAATTTTTAATATGACTTTCTGAATAGAAAATTCATAGACATTTCTGACCATGATATTATTTGACAGCAAAAATCTAGTAAGTCCTTTTATTTTTTTATACTGGGGGGAGCAATAAGTATTAAATGCTGATACTACCATTAAAACTATAAAATTATAAAGAGGACAACAAATAAAGCTTTTTTTAAAAAAAGAAAACTTAGAATTTTTATGCCCTTTATATTTACAATAAAAATACTAAATCTGGGGGAAACTTATGGGACCTGTGAAGTGGCTAAACAACCACCAAAAATTAGCTTAAGAAATTGGAGGTGTAAAAAAACTGGAAACCCAGGCAAAACTGTGGACACCTAAATTCATCTCTGGTTTATGTAGTGACTTTCTGTGTTTCAAGGTCTTTACAATGTTATATATATGCAGTCCCCTCAGCCCTGACCACTTGAGTCATAATAAATCCAAAGCACCTCTTTTCCTTGACCTCTTAGCATTCCCAGGATTTTACAAAACTCATGATCAAAAATGTTTATAGAGAAAACTAGAGGCCCGATGCAAGAAATTCGTGCAAGGGGTTTGGCCCTCACAGCCCCGGCCAGCCCTCGCAGCCCTGCTTGACCCTCACAACCCTGGCTTCGTCCAGGAGGTCATCCGGAAGGTCGTTCAGCTGTTCAGTCTAATTAACATATTAGCTCTTTATTATATAAGATGACCTCCTGCTGAAGAGGTTCAGTTTTAGTATTCAACCAAGACAGAAAAGACAAGAATACTTACTGGTAACCAGTTTTTGTTTTTTAAAAAAATATATTTTTATTGATTTCAGAGAGGAAGGGAGAGGGAGAGAGAGAGAAACATCAATGATGAGAGAGAATTATTGATTGGCTGCCTCCTGCATGCCCCCTACTGGGGATTGAGTCTGAAACCCAGGCATGTGCCCTTCAGAATCGAACCTGGAACCCTTCAGTCCACAAGCCGATGCTCTATCCACTGAGCCAAACTGGCAAGGGCACCAGTTTGTTTTTGATGAACATCACTGTATTACTCAAGGTGCTACATAGAAGCAGATCCAATAAGATAGGAGAGAGAGAGAGATTTATTTTAAGAAATTGGCTCATATGATTGTGAGGCTGGCAATTCTGAAATATACAGACAGGGCCGGCTGGCAGGCTGGAGACCCAAGGAAGAGGTGATGCTGCAGCTCCAGTCAGAAGGTTGTTTGGAGATAGACTTCCTTCTTCCTTTAGGGACCCCAGTCTTTTCTCTTAAGACTTTCAATTGATTGGATGAGGCTCACCCACATAATACAGATTAATCCTCTTTACTCAAAATCTATTTAAATGTTAATAACATGTAAAAAATACCTTTGCAGTAACACTAGACTGGTGTTTGACCAAAAACGGTTACCATAGCCTAGGAAGTTGACACATAAAATTAACTATCACAACCATCAATCTTCATTATTATTTCTGTTATTACAACTACAATTTGTTTCTCCCTTAAACAAATCAAGCTAGTTCTTCTGCAAACTGTGTGCAAGATTTCTGTGTACTAAAATCTACATCAAATATCTGCTGGCCTGTGTTTTCCTTGGCCTACATATTACACAACTGTAGTTGATAGAGTTATTTGCTATATTTTCTGTTCACTAATATTTCCTAGAGGCACTACAGAACTAGGTAGTATCACATTCCACCAGCATGCATCTCTCATCAATTAAAGTATCCCAGTTGCTTTGATACAGATAAGTAATTGTAATCCTTTTGTTTATAAATCTGTGTCTTGGATTAAACATTCATGGCATCTATACAGTGAACAAAAATACACAAAGTATTCCACCTCTAATGAAAGTTTAATCAGGATCTGATAACAGGGGCTCACAGAGAGCCCAGGGCAGCAACTGTGGTGTGATCTCCTTGCTGGTCAAAGGTAGGGGTAGCAGTTCTCACCTGGCCACCTGTGACAGCCACCACACCTCTCCACTGCCAGACCTTTCACCCATCTTAACTATTTCTTTCTTCCATTTCTGTACATCATATAACTAAATGGCTGTGGCATTCCTGGACCAGGAACAAAGCTCCCAGGAGCTGGATTTGGAGGAGATAACTAGGAAAATTTCATTTCTTGACAAATGGAGGGAAATCTTTAGTTATCACAGGTAAGATGCTCTCGTTTTCTCATTTTTCTATTTCTAGAAATAGAACCAGAGGGATTTTAGGTGTTTAAGTAGTCAGCTTTTATGTTTGCTCCATGAAAAGTCTCTATTATCAATTTACATTTAAAACACTTCAGGTATAACTATTTGCAGAAAAAGGCTTTCCCTGCAAGGCTGGGTTGAGGAGGTTTGCATGTAAGGGTAGAAAAGAGTGAGTAATTTTCTTGATGTTTCTCTTTCATCTTTAGGTTGGGAACCAATAATACAACTCCTCAGGTAATTACTTTTCTCAAAGCCAATGTGTTTTCTTCTAGTTGCTTCTTCAAACAACCACGTTAACAGCAAAACCCACTTATTCTATGCACATAATGTCACTCAGGCACCAGCATTTAACATGTGAAAACATATAGCTAGAAAGCCTGCTGAATATCTTTTCTTGTGCTTTCTTTTTTTCATAAAGATCTCTTTCTACTTTTAAGAGCTATTTTTCATCATTAAAGCACCATATGGTTATTATTTTAGAAAAAAGTAATAGAATCTAGAGTTCCCACACTTGTGAAATGACACTGTATTCTGAGAACAAAGAGCTCAGTGTCCCTGAAGAAAAGCAGTTTTGAAAACACTTACCGTTATTCAACTTCTGAGAAATTGTTTTCCTTCACCATTTTCAAAGGAGAGAAAGATGACAGAATTCTGGTGTTAAGAAAGTATTTTAAAATCTGTTATACAATGTAAGATAAAAAGTGTTTGTATTTCATGTCACCTGAAAAGGTTAGAAGGTAATAGACTTAGTATTTAGATACTAATTCAATCATTGAATAAACACAGCACAAAATATTAAGGTGATTTTCAGTAGTATATGATATGATCAAACAATTGAATTATTAATACTTTAACCACAACACTAAAGCATCTTGCCCCAACTAACCTGTGATCAAAAGCTTTATTTGTGCTACTCTCTTAACTGTAGTCTAAATGAGAATCAGGGAGATAGTGATTGTATTTTAGTCCTGGAAGTATTAAATGGAGATAGCTGACATTTGGGGAAATAGAATGCTCAAATGATAAAATAATCTTTGAAAGAAAATAAATAAATAAATGCCAAGTTATGCCTTACACCCTGGCACAAAGGTAAAGATTTTCCATTTGATTTACAAAATGCATCTTATCCCATCAGTAGCCTGTGACTTGGATGCTATATTTCTGAGATAAGAAAGCATCTTTGCCTCTAGGAATCCAGAAAAACTAAGAAAGCAGTTTCTTTCATGCTTCAGCTATCAATAGGGCAGATTTGTTTCATAACATTAGTGTAGAAGTTAAGTAAATTGGAAGAAGAGGTGATGCTAACATATTTAAATGCCATAAAATCAGTCACAAAAAATAAAAATAAATTTTTTGCCTTAAAGATGGGGCATGAATTTTTTTTAAAGAAGAAAATTTGCCCTAGCTGGTTTGGCTCAGTGGATAGAGCATCAGCCTGTGGACTGAAGGGCCCCGGATTCAATTTCAGTCAAGGGCACAAGCTTAGGTTGCAGGCTTGATCCCCAGTAGGGGATGTGCAGGAGGCAGCTGATCAATGATTCTCTCTCATCATTCTATCTCTCTCTCCCTCTCACTTCCTCTCTGAAATCAATAAAAATGTATTTTTAAAAAAGGAAGGAGAAAATTATACTCACTTATTGGGGAATAGGAATCTGAAAAAAGTAAAGGGAGGTAACTTGACTTCATTTACTGGCCAGTTAACAATATAATGAAAAATACCTTGTATAGACTTGAAAGAGTTACTCGTTATTTATAAGATGGTGTCCTCTCAAAACGAGACACACTGACATTTGTATTCTTCCCTAAACATAATTTCGAGTCAAGGTCTTGATAGCATTAATTATGTTTCCATAGTTGCATTTAACCTCCTCGAGTCACATAAAACTTAGGAGAAGCCTCTTTGACACAGACACTGGCGTTTTTCTGCCTCTTTTATTGGTATGTATCACAATTTTCAAACATCTTGAAAAGGGAGACAACATTTTCTGATAAAAATTATTTCAGAGAGAAAGAAAGAAAAGGGGAGAGGTCATCACAGCACTGTTTGCTTTGTTTTTGGTAGTGGCATGTTACTCAGAATCATGAAGGCAGCCATGTGTCTGCTGCTAAGAGTGAAGATGGATCAGGAACACCTCAGCCCAAAAGACAAGGACTCTTGCCATCAAGTGGCCCTTGTTCTACTCCCAAGCCCTCTATCATCTCTTCAAAATCGAGCAGCTTTCCTATCTCCCTAGCAATGGCCACGGTGAGTACAGCTTGTCAATTAAACATGAAATGAAACGTAATCTTCCCCAAACAACAGGGCTAGAGAATCTTATCTGCTGTCATGTGAGAGCATTCTGAAGATAAGACTACAGACGGTTGTTATTGGTAGAAGGAGGATATAATTAAAATGACTTATTTATAGTATTTTTCAAAGGCACTGCTGACATTACAGTCTTTTCCTCCCAAATTATGAGTCTCTCTTTATTCACTTCCTGGACATGAAAGTTAAATTTGAGGGAGTAAAGTCAGATGAGTCACCATATAAGGTAGGGTAGGGTAGGTTGGCTGGGGAGTGCTGCAAACATGCAAGACAATGTCGAGGGGTGAGACAGGACCCTGTCCGAGCCTGGGCCGGAGGAAGGGAGGTGGGGACCTGTGCCAGGCCCAGTCCTGGGCAAGAGCTGATCTCAGGAAAAAAAGATTTTCTGGGACTGCCGACTAATAGGCAGATTTGAAAAAGAACCTGATACTTGAGGATCCAAGTAGATCTGGAAGCTTCGGGTTCTAAGGACCATTTGCTCATTTCAAAATTTGGCCAGGGTGGGGGCAAAAGGCTATGGAGACCCAGCTAGGAGGCAGGACCAATGGCAACTCACTGGACTAAACAGGTCAGGGCTGGAGACAGGGCTTTGGCAAGTGTCCAAAGAACCAGCTGTTGTAGTCAAAGAGCCACGTTGGAAACTGGGGAAGCTCAGCCAAGGACGGAGCCAGGAAAACAGTCCCTGCTAGGGTGAGAGAGCTCTCCAATTGCACAGCCCTCCAATGTAGCCCCCACATTCACCTCATCCCCAAACCTCACACTGTATTCTAGAGCCTTGGGCAGAGACCTCTCCCTAGACCCTAAGAGCAAGAGGAGGAGGAAGCACCCCCTCCTGACCACAGGCTGTCCTACCCCTGGGCACGGGCACAGAAACTTCCGGGCTGAGCCTGGCCATCTGAGCACACAGCAGCAACAGGTGTCCTGTGCTCATAGCTCCATGGGCCGGCACCATCCTTGGCCCCTGCTGAGGGGGCTATTGAGGGGGCATGGAACCCCTCCAGGGGGAGTCACAGTCTCCACCTGTTTTTTAAAAAATCCTCACCCAGGCATATGTTTAATGATTTTAGAGAGAGGAAGAAAGAGAGAGAGAGAGAGAGAGAGAGAGAGAGAGAGAGAGAGAGAGAGAGAGAGAAGCATCAGTATGAGAGAGAAACATGGATTGGTTGCCTCCCTACGTGCCCCAAGCATCATCCCATAACCTTTCGGTGTATGGGATGATGCTCCTACCAACTGAGCCACCCAGCCAGGGCTGTACCTGCTTTTTGAGCACAGAAGTGGAGCTGGCCAGACCACAGTGTTTTCTGCTCTGAATATGGCCTTTCCTTAAGCTCCCCAGATGAAACATCAGATTTAGGGACTCCAGCCCCACCCTCACCTCCCTCACCCCATTGCTTTTTATCATGCATGTTCTCACAGGCCCCACTGTCACATGTGCAGTACAAGTGTAATGGAGACCTATTTGCTCCTTCTCATCAAAAGTCTTTCCACCTCAATCCACCTTCCCTCTTCTACTCAAACGCCAGACGTCACAGAAGATAGGTCAGCAAGGCTCTCATAAGATGCTACACTTTGCTTGCTGGCCTCCCAGCTCCTGGGTGGTGCCTTCACTTGTGTCTTAGGTATCTATCTAGTGAATCCTCTCCTTTGGGTAATGAAAACAGGTGATGCGTCATACTGTTGAGTGTGGTTACGCGGCCACACTATGCTAGAGGAACAAAAGTTAGAGCAACTAGCTGTATTTTACTGGCCAAGATAATGCTTTTAATGAACACCCTCTAATAAAAAAAATGTAGTATTGAAATAAATGCTTATGGAGAATATCACTTTAAAATTTATATATATCTGGGAATAGGCTACTTTTTGTGTGAAAAAGAGAAAAACTATGATTCTCTACTGGTATTTGCCTGTGTATGCTGCAGAAATTCCAGACTAGTGCATAGCGTGGAGCCATGGGAGCACGGGGACCAGAGGCACGGGTGTGAGGGAGTCTTTCTTGGTGGCCTTCTTTTACTCTGGATTTTGAACCATGTGAATGTACAATCTATTTTTAAAAACACACATACAAACTTTAAAAATAGAAAAAAGCATTCACAGATACTTCCAGAGCCTTCCAGTCTCCCTCTGTTCTGTGGAGGCAGGAGAGTCTGGGTCTGAATTCTCTCCTTTCTCCCAAACACAAACACAACGCAATTGGACACCTCCCCAATGACTCCCATCGCAATTCTCTCCCTTCGGAAAAGACTGGGAGGTAAAGGAGTCGGACCACTATAGCCTGAAATGGATTGATGGGGTATTAAGGAAGTCCCAGAAGTAGAAATGATCGATTTTTCTTTAAAAAAAAAAAAAAACTTATTCCCATTATGTGTGCCAGATGATAGGGTGTCCTTTAAATTGTGGTCCCATTAATTAAACACTCCCTGGGACTTGAAGATGACACCTTGGGGCTCTGAATACGTGTGTCCCAGAAGGTCGTTTGGAAGCTTGGCCAATTCTACACGTTTTGGCAGTGCAGCTGCCTGGCAAATTATCAGAGCTATTGAATCCTAACATCCCCTGAAGCATGCATTTTGTCACCATTCTGCTGTCTTCTTCCCCCTCTGTTTGAAGTAGGCATGTGTGGGATTTCTTGCCATTGGCACACACTCTTTGCTGGGAATCTGCTCAGGAAGTAGGGGTAGGTGAAGGGCCCTACGTACCCTTGCTTTCCCCAGCTCTCCTGTTTCTCACATTTTTGTGGCCCTATTTCCAATATTATAGCCTTCTTCCTCCCCCAATCTAACATCTTAGGTGGATGTGCTGCAGTGAACTCTGGTCAGGACTGCTGGCCCCATTGAGTTCGTGGACAAGGGGTGCACCTGCCTCTGGGCTCTTCCACCAGCCTCACACCACTGCCTTTCTTCCCTCCAGTGGCAATTTTCCATCCTCCTCCACAATCAGGCCCTTCTCGGGGACCCATCCTGGAACACACTCCTGTAGCCTCTTTTATTGGCAATCAATAAACAAACCTTGGTGTATTTGCAACTCTACCCAGCAGGATCACACTACACTGGCTGGACCGCATGTAATGCTGGGAGAGCAAATATTCTGAGGAGACTGTAATAGATGAAGCTGTAATAGAGAATAGAGGGCAGCAGGCAAAGAGATGGCTTTGGGGGAGCAGGAAACACAGCCTGGTGGCCCCAGCATAAAGTCTGGCCAATAGATGGGCCCCAGGAGATGTTTACTTAATTCATTAATTCACTGCTCTGGATGATCCCCTGGAGAGGCATCTCAGCATGAGATGGTGGGTATCATTCTTGTGCCACTTCCAATGCACCCTTTAACCTGCTCCATCCTGCTTTCTGCCTATGAGACTAACTGTAGTGCTCCCTCCTCCTCTGGCTTCCTGTCCAGTTTATCCAATGGGAACCCTGGAGGGAGACTGGAGGGAGAGAAGGGAATGAAGTCAGGTTGTGCAGAGCTGGTTGGATCCCCCTCCTCCAATGCAGCCCCCTCCCTTGGACTCTCCTTCTGGGTTCAGGTAACCACTCCCCCCTCCTCCCACCGCATTAGTCATTGTGGTTTCCCTGTAAGTATCCCACATCTTTGTAAATAGTATTAAACTTTCCTCAAGTTAATTATCCTGACTTGAGAGAGCAACTGTTTCCTGCTGGGACCCTGACTGGTATATGTTGAAAGGATTGCATTTGGGTTCTGGCACTGCCATTTACTAATTATGTAACCTTGGGCATCCCAATTAATTGCTCTGGGCCTCAAGATCTTTACATGTAAAATGAAAGGATTGAATTAGATTTTTAAAAAATTATTCAACAAATGCTTATTGTGAGCTACTCTGTACCAGGCACTACTCCAGATGTGGACAAATCCATGGCAAACACAACCCCTCCAAGAGCCTAGTCTGATAGGCCAAGAGGCACTAATTCTGACAATCTCTGTTCCATGATGAGCCAGTAATTTTTAAGACAAGAAAAGATTTATGGAAGGAGTTTCAAAGAGAATTATTCTACTTCATATTGGGTGAAGGTGGGGGGGTGGGGTAGAAGAGGACTGGACTGGACCAGGTTGTCCCAAGGAAACTCTAAGCCCAGTGACAAGGGACAAACAGCTGGAATAAGGAAATTAAACCTGGTGAGTATGTGTGTGTGTATGTGTGTGTGTGTGTGTGTGTGTGTGTTATGTGTGTGTGTTAATGATCATCATCATTATCATCATCACAGCAAACAGGAAAGAGGTATCCATTACAAATCCTAGAAAACAAAGTGAAAAGAGAAAAACTATAAACTGTATTTGTCTGTATTAAATAGTAATGATCATTACAGTCATTTATTAAGACCACTTACCATTGTGTCTAGTTACCAGGCAGCAGAGCAACATATGTATGTCACTGAACATGCCTCAGGTTAATCTTGTTGTAAATTATATTTGATGTAAAATAAACAGTAAGATGAAGCACCTTTGCTGTCACTCTAACCAGTGGGGGTTGGCCTGAGAGGCCTGCAGGCCTCTGTCCTAGGCCTCCCCAGGTGCATCTGGATGGTGACTCTGCAACAGAAACAGGAGATGGGATGGTTTGACTTGCAGAATTTTTCTAATTGAATTTGTATTCTAAGCCTTTTTAGTCTCAACAGTCTTAATCTCTGCATTCACACACAGCTTCTCCCTCATTCCTGCCAGTCTCCGGTCTTTTTCCCTGTGTTAGGACTTTCTTCCTACTGCATAAGATGTTTCAGCGCAGACAAGCTGTTTCACAAAGGTAGTAACACCCTCCGTTTACTCAGCAGTATGGTCCCAAAGCCATTTTTCTTACCTTTTCTCTTTCAAGGATAACCATATTAATCAAGCAGGGGTTCTCCCCATTTTGGGATAAGCAAATAAATCGTACAGCGGCTGGGCAACCTGTCGATTTCACACAGTCAGTAGGAGCATAACTGGGATTTCTCTGCACTGATCAGCCTTTCCTCTGTGCTATGTAGCCTTGATGGCAAGGAACCACTTTCTGTCACTTTCAGTCCTCTGCTGGGGATGTCCTGGGCTGGTGGCCCTCTTTGGCCATGGTACACACTAAGTCTGTGTCTTCTAAGAGCAGCGTCTGTGCCCATCTGCTCCCTCTCCTTGGTAGACAGTCACAATGGCACATACAGGATTAAAGCTGGGAGGCAACCAGTGGTAGAATGGGCACAAATTCCAGCTCTGCTTCTACTAGCTGGGTGACCTTTGGCAAATACTTCTCTGTAAAAAGGGGGTAATAATGTACCTACTTCAAATAATTAAATTAACATAGTGAATGTAAAGCACTTAGCCCAGTGCCTGGTGCATGAAAATACTCAATAAATGCTAGATGTCATTTGCCAGCCTAGTTGAAATGCCACCTCTTCCAAAGCCTTCTCAAGTACTTCAGTCAAAGGTTCTCTCTCCTTCCTTTGTTCATTCATGGCACTTTGCACTTGATTTGTGGAATTTCAGACCTCTGTCTTATACATAGTTGTGGGATGTTAGACTTTTCACATATCTATAGCCCACACAGGATTAGCACATGCTAAATGATGAATACACCTCTGATTATGAATGGATTCCTTTTTTTCATGTGTTTGGTTAATAAAGGCTTGTTTCCATTTTGATGGTTTCAAATCTCAATGTACTATCAAGTACTTTGGAAGACCTTAAGGATTCTGGGGCAAGAGAACAGAGAATTCTTGTTTAATATAATTGAAACCACTATTGTACTCAGGCCAGAAACACAGTCCTGTATATTCCTTTAAAAAAAAGAGAGAGAGAGAGCTATTTCCTCCTTTAGGTTTACTTCTTTTTATTTATTTATTTTTTAATTGATTTCAGAGACAGGAAGGGAGAGGGAGAGATGGAAACATAAATGATGAGAGAGAATCATTGATCTGCTGCCTCCTGTGCACCCCCTACTGGGGATAGAGCCCAGAAACCACGCATGTGACCTGAGCTAGAATTGAACTGTGACCTCCTGGTTCATAGGTTTATGCCCAACCACTGAGCTACACCAGCTGGGTTTCCTTTTTTTTCTGGAGCAAGTCATGAATATAGGGGCAGCAGCACAAGGACAGAGCCACAGCCTGGAGTGTACTGTGTGGGGTAAAAGGAGAGATGGCTAGCAATGAAAGGGGATACAAGGATCCTTTCATCAAATAGGGATGATATAGGTTTAGGGTTGGCACACTGAGCTTTGAGGATAAAATGTCCTCAGTGAACCTAACATGAATCTTTTGCACAGGACTTTACAATTAAAATAGAGAAGCGTAGCTCTAAATGTAGAAAGGGGACAGGCCACCTCCATGGTTTCACTGCCTTACTTAAGATTGATGAGGAATGTGTCTCAGAATTATCTTCCTTTGAACTCACCAGTTGTATCCCCTCCTCTCAGAAGCTGCGGCAGAGCCTCTTTGGAAATACGGTCTATGTCTTCAGCTGTGATTGGAAAAAGGCCTGTTTCAGGTTCCATGAGCCTTTTTCTGACCTGGCTTTTGCTTTGGAAGTGGGAAAGGTAATAGCAGGTGACAATTTTTAAAAACCCCAATTCCATGTTCCTTATCTATGTTTCCTTTCATTCTCATTCCTGTAACACATGTTTTCATTATAATAACTTGTAGAAACATATCAATAATTTAAAAATTGACCTTAAATGATAACAGACTGTTTACAATTATAACTTACTGTCTGGGTTGTAACAAAGACTCAGACTTCTTTTTCTTCTCTCTCCCTCCTTGTAACTTCCAATTTTCCTGGCTCTTTACCCAAGTCCTAAGCATCCCTGAGGATGTAGAGGCTGGCTTATTCAAAACTTCAATAATTCATGTCATTGATCACCAGTCACACAGAATTTCAAGAGCTAGACATCTATTTCATCCTCTCCTACAAATGTGCAAGTTGATATGAAGCAGGGGCACCATGGAGGCAGGGTGGAAGAGGGCATATATCCCCAGGTGCCAGTACTCCGTAAAGAAGTTGATCACTGCAGATTCCAGCTTGGCAGCAGCCCATGGAGAAGGATAGGTCAGTGTAGTACAATGTCTCTTGCTCAGTAGGGGATGCTGTACACCAGAAGGGAAGGGCTGCGCAGAAGAACAGAGCATGACATTCACTTGCATGAGGTCTCCCTTGGAACGTCAGTCCTGAGAGGTGTGAAGCCCTGCACCCAGCCTTACCATTCATCTTCCCCTTTGCAGGGAGGTGCCCAAAGCATTCAGATGGCCGTACAAGGATTGATCATCAAGTACTTGCTGTTTACAAGGGAGGGGAAAGACTGTAACTTCCACAGGTAAGAGGAAGTACTTGGGAGAGTTACTCATTTCCTGAGAACCTTTATATGCTAGATAATCACAGCAGAAATCCCTGGGTCCCCTCAGGAAAGGGACTTGCTCACAGACAAAAATGGGGCTGGTTCTTCCCTCGGAGCTGGATTCTATGATGGGGATGGCTGTCCTGGAGTTACTCTCAAAGCACAGCTGAAGAACAATGCTGACAGTTTTATGCTCTGCTGCAGATCACCCTGTCAGGTAACATAAAGCACCAGGTCTTGGGTGGGTTCCTTGATAATATTTGACAGAAAGTTTCAACCTAGCAAGTCCAGGGAGGATCAAAATGGCAATGAAAACCCTTGATAAATGAAGTACTAATCTTCCTCTTTAATCAGGCTACCAAAGTACAGTGTTTGGTAGTTGCCATTAGTTCAAATTACTTTATTCTTAGACGTTAACAAACCCTATTGTTTGCAAAACTCTATGCTTGCTATTAGAGAAAATATAAATAAGTAAAAGGCATCTATTTGCCTTCAAGCAAGGTAAGTTATCACCAAAACTAGAATTAAATGTACAATATATTCTAAGGTGGTGAATTGCCAGGTTCCTTAGAAGCAGAGCCAGAACTGGAATTCCTTATATGAGGGGTTAATGAAGGGAATTCCCTCAGCTGAAACCTGGGAGAGAGAGTGGGAAGCCAGATGAGAAAGGAGAGGCTGAGAAGGAATAAGATTCTGAATGGTGACTCTAAATGACACACTAGATCAGATGGATTTAATTGACATTTACAGAATATTTCACCCCAAAACTACAGAATATACATTTGTTTCAAGTGCACACAGGTCTAAAGATAGACCACATGTTAGGACACAAAACAAGTCTCTACAAGGTCAAGAAGACTGAAATCATATCAAGCATCTTCTCAGATCACAATGGCATGAAATTAGAAATAAACTACAGTAAAAACACCCAAAAACATTCAAACACATGGAGGATAAATAGAATGTTATTAAACAATGAATGGGTTACCAGTGAGCTCAAGAAAGACATAAAAAACTTCCTGGAGACAAATTAAAATGAACATACAACTACCCAAAATCTCTGGAACACAGCAAAAGCAGTCCTGAGAGGGAATTTCATAGCACTACAGGCCTACTTTAAAAAACAAAACAAAAAAATTTACAATAAACTATTTAACCCTACAATTTAAAGAATTAGAAAGATAACAAGAAAAACCCAGAGTGACTAGAAGGGAGGAAATAATAAAGATCAGAGCAGAAATAAATGACAAAGACTGAAAAAACTACAAAAAATCAATGAAACCAAGAGCTGGTTCTTTGAAAAGAAAAATGAGATTGATGAACCTTTAGACATATTCATCAAAAAACAAAGAGAGAGGGCCCAAATAAATAAAATCAGAAACAAAAACAGTGAAGTAACAACTGACATCACAAAAATACAAAGGATAATAAGGAAACTGGAGGCCCAGTGCATGAAATTCATGCACAGAGTGGGGGTTCCCTAGCCCGGCCTGCACCCTGTCCAATCTGGGACCTCCCAAGGGATGTCCGACTGCAGGTTTAGGATTGGGCCTAAACTGGCAGTCGGACATCCCTCTTGCAATCTGGGATGACTGGCTCCTAACCACTCGCTTGCCTGCCTGCCTGATCACCCCTAACTGCCCACCCCTGCCGGCCTGATCTTGCCCCCAACTGCCCTGCTCTGCTGGCTTGATCTCGCCCCCAACTGCCCTCCCCTGCAGGCCTGATCACCCCTAACTTCCTCTGCCTTAGCCCCCACCACAATGGCTTTGTCTAGAAGGAAGTAGGACATCTGGAAGATGGCCGGTTGACCCAGTCTAATTAGCATAATACCCTTTTATTAGTATAGATAGATTATATAGGATAGGATTGCTTAACTGGGGGGAAAAGCCTTTTTCAGCAGGAGGAGATGCTCTTGGAAGACAAAAACACATAATCCCTATATCTGGCCTGATAGCCAGCCATATGCACTATACTGCCAAACCGGTCATTAAAAAATTGAATCACTTTCTTACACCTTACACCAAATAGCTGTTGCCCTTAAAACCCCTCCTCAGCCCCCACTTTAGGTTCTGCCTTCGCAGTTCACCCAGATTTGGTTCTGATTGGTTGGTTTCTATGCCAACCAGCATCTCTGGGCCTATCTCCAGGCCTGATCATAGAGGTGGGGCTGATCAGCAGCCGCCTCAGGCTGCTGGTGAGTGGGCTGAATTGCTGACCTCTGGGAGAGGCTTGGCTGCTGCTGCTGATTAGCCTCGTCTCTCTCTCTCTCTCTCTCTCTCTCTCTCTCTCTCTCTCTCTCTCAGAGGTCAGCAGTTCAGCCTGCTTGCCTGCTGCGTGTGCAGCCTGGCATTTGGTTGAGCCTCCGGTCATTGTGGATGTTACAACCATGGCGCTCTCTCGATAGATAGATAGATAGATAGATAGATAGATAGATAGATAGATATAGAGATAGAGATAGATATAGATGATATAGATATAGCTATAGATATAGATACACTTAGTGGCCAGATTATTATGACCGGCCAGATTATTATGACCACCCTATCAGTACTTCGTTGGGCCACCTTTTGCCTTCAATACTGCGGCGATTCTTCTTGGCATTGACTCCACGAGATGTTGAAAGGTGATGCGAGGAATCTGACACCATGCCTGATGAATAGCACTGTCCAGTTCTGTGAGATTTGATGGTTGCGGAACCAACTGCCTGATGGCTCTTTTAACTTCGTCCCTCAAATGCTCAATTGGATTGAGATCTGGTGATTGTGGGGGCCACCTAAGCAAGGTAAAGTCTCCCTCATGTTCTTGAAACCACTCCTGCACAATATGAGCACCATGGCATGGTGCATTGTCTTACTAGAAGAAGCCATCTCCATTGGGATATGCCATCAACATGATAGGATGAACTTGATCAGCAATGATACTTAGGTATGTTGTGCTATTCAGACGTTTATAATGGTCTGGCCCTCTAGCAACTTCAGCGTGAAATTATAGCTAATTTGCCTACAAACCTCAGGTGGTCATAATAATCTGGCCACCCAGTGTGTGTATATATATATATATATATATATATATATATATATATATACTATGAACAACTATATGCCAATAAGCTGGACAATGTGGATGAAATGGAAAAATTCCTAGAAAAATACAATCTTCCAAAACTGAATCAGGAAGAACCAGAAAACCCAAATAGGCCAATAATAACTGACAAAATTAAAACAGTAAAAAACAAACAAACAAACAAAAACTCCTGGCAAACAAAAGCCAGGTATGGACGGCTTCACAGGAGAGTTTTACCAAACGTTAAAAGAAGAACTAACACCTATCCTCCTCAAACTATTCCAAAAAATTCAAGAGGAAGGAACACTTCTGAGCTCTTTTTATGAGGCCAACATTATCCTAACTCCAAAACCAGATAAAGACACTACAAAGAAAGAAAACTATAGGCCAACATCCTTGATGAACATAGATGCTAAAATCCTCAACAAAATATTAGAAAATTGGATCCAGCAATATATTAAAAAGATTATACACCATGACCTAGTGGGATTTATTTTAGGGATGCAAGGCTGGTACAATATTCACAAATCAATAAATGTGATACATCACATAAAGAAACTGAAAGGGGAAAAAATCACATGATCATATCAGTAGATGCAGAAAAAGCATTTGACAAAGTCCAGCACCCATTTTTTATAAAAACTCAGCAAAGTGGGAATAGAGGGATCATACCTCAATATAATAAAGGCCATATATGACAAACCTGTAGCCAACGTCATACTCAAATGGCAAAAACTAAAACCATTTCTCCTAGAACAGGAACAAGGCAGGAATGTCCACTTCCACTACTCTTATTCAACTGGAAGTCTTAGCTACAGCGATCAGACAAGAAGAAAAAATAAAAGACATCCAATTTGGAAGTGAGGAAGTAAAACTCTCATTATTTGCAGATGATATGACCTTGTATATAGAAAACCCTAAAGACTTCACCAAAAAACTACTAGATTTAATGAATGAATTCAGCAATGTAGCAGGATACAAAATTAAAACCCAGAAATCATTGGCATTTTTATACATCAATAATGAATTTTCAGAAAGAGAAACTAAACAAACAATCCCATTTACCACTGCAACAACAACAACAACAACAAAAAATAGGATATTTAGAAATAAACTTAACCAAGGAGGTAAAAGACTTATATTCAGAAAACTACAGGATATTGAAAAAAGAAATAGAGGAAGATATAAACAAGTGGAAGAATATACTGTGTTCATGGATTGGTAAAATTAACATCATTAAAATGTCCATACTACCCAAAGCAATCTATAGATTCAATGTAATCCCTATTAAATTACCAACAGCATATTTCACAGATCTAGAACAAATACTCCAAAACTGTACCTGGAACCTGAATAGCTGCAGCAATCTTGAGAAAGAAAAACAAAGATGAAGGAAACATAGTACCAGATATCAAGTTATACTACAAAGCCACCATAATCAAAACTGCTGGTACTGGCACAAGAACACACATATAGATCAATGGAACAGAACAGAGACACCAGAAATCAATCTAATCTACTCAGTTAATATTGGACAAAGGAGGCAAGAGCATACAATGGAGTCAAGACAGTCTCTTTAATAAATAGTGTTGGGAAAATTGAACAGATACATGCAAAAAAAAATGAAACTAGTTAAATTTTACCCCATACACAAAAATGAAATCAAATGGATAAAAGATTTAAATGTAAGTCATAAAACCATAAAAATCCTAGAAAAAAATCATAGGCAGCAAAATCTCAGACATCTCTCATAGCAATATGTTTGTGGATACATCTCCTAGGGCAAAGGAAACTAAGGAGAAAATAAGCAAATGGGACTACATCAAAATTTTTAAAGGTCTGCATAGCAAAAGAAACCATCAACAAAATGAAAAGGGAGTCCACTGTATGGGTAAACATATTGATAAAGGGTTAATATCCAAAACATATAAGGAATTCATGCAACTTAACAAAAGGAAGACAAACAATCCAATTAAAAAATGAACAAAGAACCTAAATGAACACTTATTCAAAGTGACAAACAGATATCCAAGAGACATATGAAAAAATTCTCACAAAGTCACTAATCATCAGAAAGATGCAAATTAAAAAAATAATGAGGAATTAACCCACACCTGTCAAAATGGCTACCATCAACAAATCAACAAATGAAAAGTGCTGTAGAGGATGTGGAGAAGAGGGAACCCTAGTATACTGCTGGTGGGAATGCAGACTGGTGCAGCCATTATGGAAAACAATATGGAGTTTCCTCAAAAAATTAAATATGGAACTGCCATTTGACCCAGTGACCCCTTAGAAATATATTGTAAGAAACCCAAAACACCAATCAGAAAGAACATATGCACCCCTATGTTCATAGCAGTGCAATTTACAATAGCTAAGATCTGGAAAGAGCCCAAGTGCGCATCAGTAGATGAGTGGGTAAAAAAGCTGTAGTACATTTACACCATGGAATACTATGCAGCAGAAAAAAAAAAAAAAAGGATTTCTTACCCTTTGAGACAGCATGAAGGGACCTGGAGAGTATTATGCTAAGTGAAATGAGACAGTCAAAGAAAGACAAGTATCACATGACCTCACTCATATGTGGAATCTAATGAACAAAATAAACTGAATGACAATATTGAAGCAGAGACATAGAAACATGGGATAGACTGTCAAGTCTCAGAGGGAAGGTGGAGATGAGTGGGTGGATAGGAAGAAATTAACCAAAGAACTTGTATGCATAGATGCATAACCCATGGACACAGACAATAGTGTGGTGAAGGCCAGGAGTGTGTGGGGCGGAGGGGGAGAGTGGGTGGGCTAGAAGCAGTGAGTCGGGGGGGGGGCGGGGTGGAAAGGGGACATATGTTCATAGCAGCACAATTTACAATAGCTAAGATTTTGAAACAGCCTAAGTGCCCATCAGCAGATGAGTGGATTAGAAAACTATGGTACATCTACACAATGGAATACTATGCTGCTATAAAAAAGGAGGAAATCTTACCATTTGCAGCAGCATGGGTGGAACTGGAGAGCATTATGCTAAGTGAAATAAGCCAGTCAGTGAAAGAAAAACACCACATGATCTCACTCATTTATGGATAATAAAGAACATTATAACCTAATGAACAAAAAGATAGATACAGAGGCAGAGAAGCATCAAACAGACTGTCAAATTATAGCGGGAAGGCTGGGAGTGTTGGGGAGGGCAGTAAGAGATCAATAGAAGGACTTATATGCATACATATAAGCATAATCAATGGACACAAGACACTGGGGGGGGGGGGTGTAAGGGCATGTGCTGGGGGGTAGGGGAGGCCGGGGGAAGGTCAATGGGGAAAAAAAAGGAGACATATGTACTACTATTTGTAATACTTTAAACAAGAAAATAAAATTTTAAAAAAAAGAATGGGATTCTTGTGAAGTCTAGCCTCAGCCTGATCCCGGGAGCTTATTGCCCATCCACAGCTGAGAGAGCAGGGCTTTGGTACATCCACCCCATCAGGCATCAACCTTGGCCATCCTGCAGGAGAGGCATAAATCCTCGTCACATCTGGGCCAGGTGCCTCCAGTACTTCAGAGAAAGTTGAAAAGTAGGAGCCAGTAGCAGCAGTACTGGAAACAGCTGGGTGACATGTCCACCAACTAAGTAAAAGGGATCCCAGGGAATCTAGATGGAGCACACACAATATTTGCTGCATGAATGTAAAGCATTTAACACAGTCCTGGTATGTGGCAAATATGAAATACATGGTGATGAGTAACTGCTGTGATAGATCAGCTTCATGAAGCCTCCTGCACCTTCCCAGCCACACGTTCTCTCTCCTGTACTCTCACAGCACTCTCTTTTGTTCTCATCCGCCTCCTACTAGGATGTTGGGGTATGAGGCTCCTTGTGACTCATTTCTGTATTGCCACAGAACTAGATGGATTCTATAAGTTATTGCTGAGTTCATTAATGAAACCCTATGTGTTTCTTCATTGGGACAACAGTTGTCAATGTAAAATATTGAGAAAACAGGCATAGTTAAGTATACCACTAAAGATGGGTTCCTATTTCCTGGGAGGTTGGACAGCCTGAGATTATTACTCAATGGAGTGTAATGGTTAGGACTAGGGAGTCAGGAGCCAGACTGCTCACATTCAAATCACTGCTCTACCACTTTAAAGATGAATGACCAGGGGCAAATTACTCAACCTCTCTGTCTTAACTTCCTCACCTCTAAAATGGGAGTACTAATAGTATCTACCTCGCAGATTGTTGTGAGGACTAAATGAGGTGATATGTGTGAAGTGCTCAGAACAACACTGGGCACAGTGAGTGCCAGGTGAGTGTCAGCTCCGGGTTAATAAGGGCAACCTGAAGTAGACCTCCAGTGATGCACAGGCTGTGGTCAGGCAGACAGGACATATGTGGCATGCACATTAAAGGCAGACAAGTGCATGAGCAAATGTGGGAAATATGTTCAGGGACTGGTCCATCTGGGGCAGAGGGTTTGCAAAATGGAAATCTGGGAGATAAAACTGGGGTAATTGTTTGGGGCTGTGCTAGGAAAGGGCCTGTGTTATTGGGTTAAAGAACATAGCTCAGTCCCTGCTGGAGTTCTGGAGAGAGGACAGTGGTGGGACTCGATGTCGGCAGTAGTAACCGCCCTCCTACCATATTACCAAGAGCAATATGCTGCTGAGAGGACACAAGTTCCAGTGACAGCAGATAGGACAAGCCCTCATGACATCCTCGCAGTGTAGGTTGATGAAGGAACCAACCCTGTATTCATAGTTCATAAGAGTGGAGGCCCCAGCACATGGCCAGATGACAGTCCATTTTAACCCCACCTCCTGCCTTGCAGTCTATGTGCAATAAGCAAGCAAGAGCAGAAGCAGGCCCTGGCTGTGGCACTCGCTGGTATCCTGTGGGTGGCAGGAGAAGCTCAGAAGGCCACCATCTGTCTTGTCACTGAGGACACTCAAGTCACCTCGACTCCTGACTATGCTGGGGACAATTTCACTGAGAGGGTGAGTGCAGTCTGGGTACTGGTTCACCATGCAAGTGGAGGTGGGGCCCCTTCGATGCTTCTGTGAGTGTCTGCTGTGGCCAAAGGCACCATTCAAAGAGGTGAGGGGCAAGGATTGTAGGTAATCCAAGCAGCCAAAACAGAGAATCCTGCTACGGATCTCTCCTTCCACCATGATCAAGAATATCCCATACCTGAAATCATCATAAAGTGCATTTCCATGTCCCAGGGGAACATAGCTAAACATAGCTAAACTCTACCTATTTGGGGGAAGGGGTCTGTTTATGGTTTTACTGCTTAAGATATCATATTGATTTAAAACTGAGGGATTTAAACATGAGGTCAGTAGCCACCCAATTTTACCATGTTTTATATGGCCTTGTATAAGAGAATATGTCAGTTTTTAGCAATGTGATTTTACAGTGAAGCAAAAATCTCGCTTGAGGTAATAACAGTGAATTGACATCTTATAGGTGTAACTTTCATCTTCCTTCTCATTTTAATCTTCTTTTTCTGATTTATAGCTTCAGCTGTTTGAAGTTTTGGAGAAAGAGGCCACTGAGAAATTCATCTATGATCATTTACAATGTGTAAGTGTTTAAGTACTGAGATAATTACTTTATGTTGAACTGATCTTACAGGAACCTTCTTTCTTTTACAAAGTGTCTTTTTAATGATACTTGTTAAGAAAACCAGGTCGTCTTGAGGGCTCAGGAAGGGCAGACCAAGAGAAAGGAAGCCCGCCTCTCCCTCCCCGCAACCTAGAAAGAGGCAGATCACACACCGGCCACTCCTTGGCTAATCAAGCCCAGAAAATAATACGATAGAGGGCATGTGCCAAGATTTCTTTTGTGGAGAGAAAATGTTAAAGCAGTCTTGCCTCACCTAGTGAATAAAAGACAAAAATGGTAGACAACGAAGGTTCTAGTCCGAATTGCCAAAGTGACCATTCACATTGATGCTAAGGAAATTACTTCTGGTCTGAAAAGGTGGCCCTGTTTCACCTCTTCTATCAGCACCTTCCACACAGTGTTCTCCTCCGCAATGGTTCTCACCCAGCCCCTGGAAAGTAATGGAAGGTTTATTTTAAAAGATCCCTCTGTGGAGAAACAAAGGAAAACTGATTTTCTGAGAAACTGAGATGACAGTGTGAAAGCAGAGGAACCTGAGCAGGGTGACGGTGAAGCCACACAACTTTGGGCTGCGTACGGGGCCTGTGATCCATGGAACTCACTGCTCTGCTCCTTTCAAAGGCCGTAGAGGCAGAAACCTGGGGGTTGAGTTCTCAGCCACACTAACTGTATAAGACCTTGGTTAGCCTGGTTCCCCTGGGCCCATCTCGCCTACCATCTCATAGGTCTGTGTTCGGCAAAAGAATGGTCTCCCAAAGATGTCCGTACCCTGGTCCCGGGAACCTATGACTGTTACATCACATGGCAAAGGGGAATGAAGGTCTCTAGTCAGCTGACTTTATAATAGGGAGAGTATCCTGGATTACCCAGGTGGGCCCGAGGTACTCACAGGATCCTTGAATGTGGAGGAGGCAGAAGAGAGGGGAAGAGGGATGTGGGATGACAGGTGTCACCACTGTTGCAGCTTTGAAGATGGAAGGTGGGACCATGAACCAAGGAATGTGGGCAGGGCCACTAAAGCGGGAAAGGAAAGGAAACAGATTCTGCCCTGCAGCCCCCAGAAAGAAAGTGGCCCTGCTGGCATCTTGATTTTCGCCCTGTGAGGTAGCCTTTTCAGACTCTGACCACCAGAACTGTTAGGTAATAAGGTTATATTATTCAAGCTTCTAAATTTATAGTAATTTGTTATAGCAGCAATATGAAACTAATAAAACCTGATGATAGAGTTTCAATGGCTGACATGAAATGTTAAGCTGGAAGCCTGCTTAGAGACTATCTTGCAAGCGGAAGATGCTTAATGGGGTTACACAGAGAGAGGAGCCATGTAAGAAAAAAATGATCCTTCCAGCTAAAAGAGGCACATGCTTCCCCCTCTGTCTTCCATCTCTTCAACTCAGACCTGGGAGAGTCTAATTCATTAGAAAAGGCCCCCACATCTGCAAGGTCTTTTCAGGAGTTGAGAATCAGAGGGCCAGCGCTGAAGCTCCACACCGACTTTCCCCATCAAAGGCTAGGAGTGAGTTGGAAAAGCTAACAAAGGCCCTAAGCCAGTGGTTCTCTCCTAGGATGAGGCCCAGAAATCAGGATTTTAAAAAGATTCCCAGGTGATTCTAATGTGCAGCCAAGGTTGAGAACCACTGCGACTGCGCAGCACAGGTGGCTCGGCACAGAACTGCCGGCATCAAAGCCGATCCAAGCTGATCCTTTCCATAGCCACGCTGAGGACAGGTTGGCCCCATTTCCTGAACCAGAGGGAACTTGATGCATATATTCTGAAGGGCGCTTCCTGACCAGAGGCTGCTTGTTGTGATCATCCCCCATTCACTATCAAAATGCACCAGTACTGTGTCCTAGTTTAAAGCACGGATCTCAAGTGAGGGGTCTGAGGGCTACATGTGAGCAGCAGACCTGTTGTTATAGGTTGAAGTGCATCCCTCCAAAATGATATGTTCAAGTCCTAACTCCCAGGACCGATGAATGTGCTCTGATTTGGAAACAGGGTCTTTGCAGATGCAATCAAGTTGAGATAAGGTCATGGTGGATTGGGGTGGCCCTAATGCAATGACTGGTGTTTTTATAAGAAGGAAATTTGGACGCAGACACAGAAATGCAGGGAGAGCACCCTGTGATGATGGAGACAGAGGCTGGGGTGATGCATCTCCCAGACCAAGGGACACCAGGGATTGCCAGCACCCACCAGAAGCTGGGAAGATCAAGGAGGGATCCTCCCCGGGGCCTGGAGAGAGAGTGTGGCCTTGCTCGGACACCTTCAGTTAAGACTTCTGGCTTTCAGAACCAGGAGAGAATAGTGTCCTATTGTTGTAAGTAATTCAGATTTTTAATAATTTGTTATAGCAGTGCTAGGAAAGCAATACACCTATATCTGCAGCATTAACCCACACAGTGTTAGATTTTTTTTTTTTTTAATTTGAATCATCAACAGTCAAAGCCAATCAGAAAATCCCACATAAAAACCTGGACTTTAGCTTCCCCTGCCCACCCGTCCCCTCCCCCCCACCCCCCACCCCCCCCCAAAAAAATCAGGACATTTGCTGCTCTAGACCTATAGTTCAGCATGTCCTCAGATAGCTGAGCATGACTCCCATTAGACAAGTTGTGGTGGAGTGAATGATGTTACCTATCAGGTATGAAGGGCTCTGATGAAGTTTAAGATTTTGACATGGGGAAATTATCTTAGCTTATCCTGGTGGGTTGAATTAGTCATGGGTTTCATAAGGAAAATGAGGTGGTGGGAGAGAAAGAGGAAGAGGTGCAGTGCCAAAGCAGAGGGGGGAGGGCTGTGTAATGTGGGATCCTCGTCCAAGAAACGAGGACGGCTTCCAGACACTGGAAAGAGGCAGGAAAGCCTCCAGGTGGGATGCAGGCTGGCCAGCCGTTTGAACCAGGGGCACTGACACCAAGTTGGGTTTCTAACTTCCAGAACTTCAAATAATAAATTCATGTTGTTTTAGGCCCCCACGTTTGTGGTAATTTGCTATGGCAGTGACAGGAAACTAGCATGCAAGCCTTCTCCAGGTTGCCTCGGCCCAGCCCTCCCTCACAGCCTGCAGTGTGCCCATTTGGGTTCCTGTCTAGCTCCTATGGCACCGGCGTTTGTCAGGCCCTGGTTCCTGGGGCACTGGAATTTATTCTCCTGCCAGTCACAGATAGTGAAGGGGACAAATGAATCCATAAAAGGCAAAGCATGGGCATTTTAGCTGAAGCCTTCCTGATACAGTGCCTCTAAGGGAGGGGCCTTACCCTGGTATCTCAAAAGCCAGCCAAGGAGCTTCTTTGCAGTAGGTAGAGTGTGGACCAAAAACTAAGATAAGGCCAATGAAGGAGAGGCCCTGAATGTTGGCTGGGCAATTTTGATTTGATCCTGGAGATCACAGGGCACCTTCAGAAGGTTCTGAGCATAAAAGCAACCTGCCCAAGGGAAGAGACAGAGGAGAAGTGCCTCAGAAAAGAACAGATACTGGGACCTAGCACTTCTGAGACTCAAGGCAGGTATTTGCATGCGTCATTTCACTTTTGTAACAAACCTGGGGGAAAGGTATTTTTATATGCAATTGCAGATGAGGAGATTGAGCTCAAAGAAGTAAGATAACTCTGAGTTAGTGAGTAGTAGAACTGGTTCTGAATCCAGGTCTGTATAACTCCAGGGCTGTATTTCTATAAAGCCTCTCATCCCCCACCCCTGCCACACTCCCCCTGAGTTTAACTGGGCAACCAAGAGGGATGCCCTGACTAAGGAGAGACTGGGAAGGGAGGCCAGCCAAGAGCAGCCCTGGGACTTGGGCTAGGATGGACCCAGAAAAAATGGAGAGGAAAGATATGCTACATCCTAGCCATGGTTTGAAGAAAATCACAAGACAGAAGTGGAGGAAAGAAAGAGAGGTTGAAAATCGAGAGAATGATGGTATCATTGGCAGGCTGGAAGCAGGAAGGAGAATGCATTTGAGAGTGGAGATAGATCTAGGAGAGCAGAGAGAGCTCCAGCTGCCCTTTAAGCAGCTAGAAAATAAATCTCTCAGGCAGTAAATCCTCATGCCCACAGGTATACATAGCTGCATTGCTTGGAGGCAAACGTGCTTTTCCCTTGCTTTCCAAACAGTTCAGTGGGGAAGGAAGCCACGGTGTCATCCTGTTTCTTTACAGCCTGATCTTCTCCAGAACATTTGAAAGGTATGTTCTACAAATATTTACCCAGCATTTCCTTTGGCTCTGGGGTCTCATAAACCATGTACTCTGGTGTTGGAGAATACTTTCATGCCTACTGGAAACATGAGTGCAATATTTTTCTGGTGGATGCTCTTTCTGTTGATACGTCCGTTTCTATCATCAGTTTGGCCATAGTAATGGGTAAATGACTGTCATCAGGAAACTTTGAATCTGCTTTTGTGGTACAGTACTAGGGTCCTTTCTGTGGTTATAAATATTGGCAGACAACAAAGCTTATTTGTACAATTTTCATATAAAATGTTTTAGTACTTATATGCACAGTAAAATAGATTCTCAAGTGTTTATTTTGCCTCTGTAATATGCAAAGGCCTGTTCTTCACACTGTGAAAAATACAAATAAAAGATAGAACTCTGGCCTCCTGCAGGTTCCAGTCTGGGAAAGACGAGAGGTCCATATAGAGTAGCGGTTCTCAACCTGTGGGCCGCGACCCCTTTGGGGTCGAACGACCCTTTCACAGGGGTTGCCTAAGACCATCGGAAAACACATATATAATTACATATTGTTTTTGTGATTAATCACTATGCTTTAATTATGTTCAATTTGTAACAGTGAAATTGGGGGTCACCACAACATGAGGAACTGTATTAAAGGGTCGCGGCATCAGGAAGGTTGAGAACCACTGATGTAGAGCCTGGGCAAGTCCCAGCTGGTACTTGATGGGCCAAATGAGGTGTGAAGACAATTAATCCAGTGGGTTCCAGAGGAGGAAGGGTGCCCAGCAGAGAGTCAAGGAGGAAGGCTTCTTAGAAGTAGACTGAAAGAGGGGTAAGCTTGGAGAGAGCTAGAGAGCCCCCAGAAGGGAAGAATTACAAGCCCTGAAGCAGTATTCCTGAAACCTGCCTTTTGTATATCACCATCACATTTTTTGTGGTCTATATTATTATTTCCTTAAGCTTGCTTTAAATCAACACGCATTTAAATATTAACTTCTTTCCTAACATTAATATCCTTTAAATCACGTATTTGGTGTGCTGAAGACAAATATGTATTAAAAACATCACTATAAAACATTTTTAAATGCTCATCTCTGTACCATCCAAAATCATGCCACACTTTGGTAAGCACTGCCCTGAATTATACCTGATGACCTCAAGGCATTTGCCATGCTTGACCAGTCTCTGGGTTGTATTCTCAAAAGGGAGTGACCTCTAGTCCTGGAAATAGGTTCTGTCAAGAATATATACAGCTCTCATACCAGCACCTTCCTCTCGGTGACAATAGGAGCCATGTTGCACCTTGACTTTAACATTGTCCAGGGTAGAAACCCAACCCCTAGTCTCTGATGAAACAGTAGAGGCTGCCCTTCTATAGCCAAGAAATGAGCTCAACCCCCAAGCTGGTGTTTTCCACTTAAACAGTCTGTTCAATACTGCCTTGGGCCAGTTCTCTCTGGAGTGGTCACCTATCACCACCCTAAGCTAAGCATCCCTTGTCCCAGAGCAGTGTCTCTACTGAGCCCAGCATTGGAGCATACACAGGGATTCCAACGCATGGGGTCTGTGGCTTCTCCCACCTGCACCCACAGCTTTCCCTGTGCAGCCCCAGTCCTAGAAGCTTTCCTGCGAGAGAAGGAGACAGGGAGGGCACAGGGGAGGGACAGTGACCAGGTGAACCCATGTGACTGCCGCTTTGTGTTGTGCTGGAGGGAGGAGAGGCTGCAGGTCCTTGGTGCAGTCATCCTCTCTGACCAAATGCTTATGGAATCTCCCATTCTGCAGGCTTCAGAAGGACCTAGATGTCTCCACCATTCATCTGCTACAACCAAATGCTGGAGGCTTCCTATGCAGGCAGGTAGGGGGAAGACTGGCTTCTGTTGTGGAATGTGAATCAGGCTTTTTAAAAATTGAGCATATTCTCTTAAATGAAGAGAGGTCAACTTATCCTTGAAAGACTAAGATGCTGCCCTGAGTTTGTTATCAGATCTGACCTTCAGTTCCCATTACAGTCCTTTCTAGTTTACCTCTGAGAGGCCTCTATCCCTGAGAGTCTAGAAACATTAGAAAATATCTTTTTTTCCTTTTTATTTATTGGGATGACACTGGTTAACAAAATTATACAGGTTTCCGGTGCACAATTCTACAACACATCATCTGTACACTGTAGTGTGTGTTCACCACCCCAAGTCAAGTCTCCTTCCATCACCATTTCTCCACCAATTCCCTCCTTCACCTCCCCAAAATATTTTGTTAAGGCCCACCAGGAATCCCTAATAACTGAAAGAAAGCTCTATAATAACATATTAGTCTCCTGCTCCTTAAATCCTTACCATGAAAACCAAAGTTTAAAAGGAAGTAAAGGGAGGATGAGCAGCAGGTTCTGAGTGGGCACATGGGAAGTTACGGACTATGGCTCAAGAAAAACAGTTGTTTTAACCCTAAAATGTTAATGACATACATTTTTCCAGAATTACATGTGTGATTTCATTCTTTTCAATAAAAATGGTAATTTTAAAATGATTATTAAAATAAAAAAGAAATTAAGTCCTTGTGTCATTGCTACCTAAAATGTACTATTTATAAACTGTGTCACTAGGCAGTTTTGAACATGGTTTTAACTGGAAGAGCAAGTCCACATGTCTTTAATGGCTGTCAAAATGGGAAGTCTCAAGAAATACTACATGGAGTCCCAGCACGCAGCAACGTCGGCTATTTGCAGTGGGGGAAGCACACCTCAGAGGATGGGCTTTCCCAGGTGAGTGGTCCTGATTCTCAACTGCACGACCAAGTGCCAATGTTTTGACATGTGTAAGTCTCTATGTTAAGGTAGTTCAAGTGTGATCTTACCTTTACCCTTTCCTGAATACTCCTCACCCACCACACACACACACACACACACACACACACACACACACGCACACACACACGCCATGCACGCACACATACATAGAGACTTTCAGGTCTAAACAGAAATATCCAACTCCACTTACTTCATATTTTATTTTATGTATTTTACTAGAGGCCTGATGCAAGTGTAGGCCTTCCTTTCCCTGACTGCTGGCACCGGCTTCCCTCTGGCATCTGGGACCCGGGCTTCCCTCCTCCGGCTGCCCACAGGCACCCAGGACCCAGGCTGCTTCCCTCTGGTCCCGGCTTTGTCAGGAAGGATGTCCGGAATGACATCTGGAAGGCGTCCAGCCTAATTAACATATTATCCTTTTATTATTATAGGTATAGAGAAAGTATAGGTAATACAAGTAATATGTAAATAAGTTTTTAAAAAACAAACCTGAAATAGTCCTATTTGGCTCAGTGGATAGAGTGTTGGCCTGCGGATCAAAGGGTCCTGGGTTTGATTCTGGTCAAGGGCATGTATCTTGGTTGCAGTCTCCTCCTTGTCCCAGGCCTTGGTCAGGGCTCATGTAGGAGGCTACCAATCAATGTGTTTCTCTCACACTGATATATCTCTGTCTTGTCTACGGCCATACCACCCTGAAAGCGCCCAATCTCGTCTGATATATCTCTGTCTTTCCCTCTCTCTTCCACTCTCTCTAAAAATCAATGGAAAAATAACCTCTGGTGAGGTTTTAAAAAAAACAAACTTGAAATATACAGATAAAAGGAAAGTCCTCTGGCATCCCACCCAGCTACAGATCCCCTTCTCAGAAATCAGTACTGTCAATAGCTGGTGGGTATCTTCCCAATCCTTTATTTATGAAAATGAGCAAATACATTTTATCTATTGCTCAAAGCCTTAAAAAAAGTCTGGGGGATAAAGGGAAACCCTTGGTTTTTTAGTTATTTTATTTTATTTTATTTTATTTTTCAACTAGAGGACTGGTGCATGAAATTCCTGCATGGGTGGGGTCCCTAGGCCTGACCAGTGATCAGGGCCAATCGGGACCAGGCTGATTGGGGCCAGGCCAATTGGGGCCTGCCAGCTGGGGGGAGGGAAAAGGGAGGAGGGACTGTGGGGCGTTGGCTGCTGGCCCTGAGGAAGAAGTCGGCCCTTGGCACCCCTGGGAAAGGGGCCGCATCCACTATCACCCACCCCCAGTTCCCCATCCCAGCCCTGGGCTCAGCCCTGATCAAGTGCTTGATCGGGGCCTGCTGGCCAGGGGGAGGGAATTTGGGAGATTGGCCAGCCAGGGGAGGTTGGCTGTGGGAGTGCACTGACCATCAGGGGGCAGCTCCTGCATTGAGTGCCTTCCCCTTGGTGGTCAGTGCGCATCATAGCAACTGGTCGTTCCGGTTGCTTGGTCATAACGGTTGCTTAGGCTTTTATATATATACTAGAGGCCTGGTGCATGAATTCGTGCACGGGTGGGGTGGGGCTGGGCTGGTGGGGGGGGGGGGGGGATGCGGGAGGTTGGCTGGCCAGCCCTGCCCCCAGTGGGCTGGTTGGCTGCCACAGTGGGCATCATAGCAATGGGTCATTCTGGTTATTTCAGTTGTTCCGACGTTCTGGTCACTGGCTATATATATATATATATATATATATATATATATATATATATTACAGTTGACAGTCAGTGTTATTTTATATTAGTTTCAGGTGCACAACACAGTGAAGGGGGCCCATGTATGAAACTCCCCTCACAAGCTTTCCCACTCAGGGGCTTTATAGCCTGTGACAACCAGAAAGTATAATGTGCTATTCAAAAGCACAATGAGCAAGTTCAGCAAGATGACATTCCACAAAACAAACAGGAGAGAGTAAGAAAGCAGATATACTCACCCAGACCACAAATCAAAGGTGCTTTTATGCTATTTTCACAAAATTTTTTATTCTGAGACCCAGGGAAGGCATTGTGGATTCTGTGAAAAGCAACTAATTCTCTGGAGTGGCCTTGAACTAGTTGTGATGTAATGCAATATGATATTGACAGAAATCCCCAGGCCTCGCCATCCCCAACATCTCCTGACTTGCAGCACCAAGGAGGCCTGCAGCTCAGTGCCTGTCCCGCCCCTCATGCTCCCCGTCCCAGCTCACAATCCTTCCATGTGTGTAGGGCCACACACCTGACAAGTCCTTCTGTATCCACAGCGCCATTCACCTTCCCGCCCACTGGTGGCTCCAGCTGCATGAAATCAGCATCTCACAACACATACAAACCCTGCATCCAATGGTGTCAGGACAGTCATGTGTGACCACAGCAGAATTAGTGTGTTTTGTGTACAAACCTTATTCCTCAAGTTTAAAATCTAACTTCATCACAGAAAAATGAGGAGAGACAGAGAAGCTAAAAGTAAAAAAGATGAATCCAATCCTATCACTTGGGTCAATCCTTTCACAAATGTATCCTTCTCTTCTTCTTTCTAATATAAATGTGTTCCATTCTACTCTCCTGAAACCTGCTTTTCTAATTTAACACAAATATCTTCACACATCAGCAGTAATTGTCCTTCATTATATTTAATGGATGCAAAGGGTCCCACTGTACAAACAGGAAGGACTGCACTTGGAATCTGTTATTATTATAAAGTTCCTAGTCACTTTTCCCAGATATTTGGAAATTCATCTTAGAATCTGTTATATATATAAAATGTCCACGGTCAAGCACTCTATCATTCAGAGCCCAGCAACATGCCAAGACTCCGTTTGGAGGAAAATGGCATCACAAGTTTCAAGGAGTGGAGGCACAAAACCCACAATAACAATTTAATGCTTTGTCTACTTTTACAAAGCTCTTTTACAATGTTAGTTCACTGTATCCTCATTATTAACTACAAAGATTTAAAACAGTGTGTCTCATATTTCAGTTATTTGAGTAGATAATTCACAAGCTTTGCTGTCTCTCCACACCACCTCTGCTATTATTTGCTTAATACTTTTATTTAAACCAACTCACTTTTAAAATTTAAATCTAAAAAAATTGAATCTAACCTTTTCTGCAGCAATAATACAAACCACAGACTTGATGTGCTGTTTTCTTTCCTAATACATCTATACTAATAAAAGCATAGGTGGTTCTTGCGCCCTTGTGTGTGACGTTGTCACAAGATGGTCGCCACAAGATGGTCACCACAAAGATGACTGCCACAAGGTGGCTGCCACAAGATGACCACACGCACAGCAGAGGTGAGGCCTGGCGGCTGCTCCGCGCAGTGAGGCCTGGGGGTCCCGCCGCTCTGCACAGTGCAGAGGAGGCCGGTCCCAGTGGAGGAGGCAGGTTGCAGCAGGGGAGGGCAGTTGTGGGCAATCAGGCTGGCAGGGGAGGAAAGTTGGGGGTGATCGGGTCGGCAGGGGAGGGAAGTTGGGAGCAAATGGGCCAGCAGGGGAGGGCAGTTGGGAGTGACCGGACCAGCATGAGTGGGCAGTTGGAAGTGATCGGGCCAGAAGGGGAGGGCAGTTGGGGATGATCAGGCGAGGAGGGGAGCAGTTAGGCATCAATCAGGCTGGCAGGGGAGAGGTTGGGGGTGATCAGGCTGACAGGCAGGTGGGCGGTTAGGAGCCAGTTGTCCCAGATTGTGAGAGGGATGTCCGACTGCCAGCAGTCAGACATCCCTCAAGGGGTCCCAGATTGGAGAAGGTGCAGGCCGGGCTGAGGGACACCTCCCTTCCCATGCACAAATTTCATGCACTGGGCCTCTAGTATTTAAATAAATAAACATGTTTTGTTTTCAAAGTTCCCTCTTTGTGCCACTGACTTCATGCCACACGCCACCAGTGGGCACTTGCTCCACACTGTGGAAACCTGGTGTAAAAGTGAGGAGGTCCTGTAGCATGTCAGAAACAGCCCTGGCCTCCACAAATTGTATAGTCAGTCCTACCCAATGACTATTTGATCTGGGGAGAACCTTGACAGAAATTTTTAAAGCCTACAGGTGATTCTAATGTACCACGAAGGTTAGAAACCTCTGTTCTAGTGTGGGGCTGCTCAGCCTGAGCACTGCTGACGATTTAGATCGATACTTTTTTGTGGCAGGCTGTTCTGTGCATTGTGGGATATTTAGCAACATCCCTGGCCTCTGCACACTAGATGCCAGTAGCACCACTACTCCTCCCCGCAGTGTGACAACCACAAATGTCTCCAGACACTGACAAATGTCCACTGGGGGACAAAGTTGCCCAGTTGAACCACCACTCTAAAGAAAGAGTGGGAAAAGATCTCGTTAAGTTTAGATAACTAAATCCATGTGAGTAGAATTGGAAAACTAGTTATTTCAACTGATATTACAAGAGTTTCTTCTTTTAATCAGTATCAGAAAGGTTGAAAGCTTCCTGTTCCCTTTTAACATTCACCGGGCTCTGGGGACAAGTTTCAGACCTTATCTTAAATTAAAATTAAACAGGAGTTTGCTAAATAGCTCGTAAGTAGCTCTGAGAAGGGACTGTACTAAAGAATATGCCACTGATGGAAAGAGGGAGGGAGGGGGAGAGACTCAGAGAGTCAAGAATGTATAGGCACCCAGTGCTACCATTTTCACTGGATCACATTTCTTTCTACAACTTGGCTTAGACCAGTAGGGCTATTAAATCATGCTCTAACAAAAATTATCTGAAGATCTTTTTTAAAAATATATTTTTATTGATTTCAGAGAGGAATGAAGAGGGAGAGAGAGATAGATCAATGATGAGTGAGAGTCGTTGATCGGCTGCCTCCTATACCCCTACACTGGGGATTGAGCCCACAACCCCCATGTGTCCCGACTAGGAATTGAACTGTGACCTCCTGGTTCATAGGTCGACACTCAACCACTGAGCCATGCTGGCTGGGCTTCAGATCTTAAAATATTCTCCAATAACAAAGT